AACGATGCGCCATGTGGGAGATTCGGAATGGAAAATGTTCAAGAGATGACGACACTGGGCCAACGTTTGACTCGTCTTATACGCACGCAATTTTTTTGAGCAGGTTCTCGCGCAAATTTCCGGAAGAAATTGACTCCTGTTCAGCCAACCGAATGCCAGCCTAAAGGAAGTACGGTAACTCTCAAGCGATTAACGATTCATAAACTAAAAGTGCATCTCACAAACTGCCCTTAGACCCTGGTTACGATGGCCTTTGGCAAGTGGCCTGTCTAATTTCATCGTTGCTCTAGGACAACAGTATCATTCAGGTGCGTCCGCGCGACGGTATTTATCGATCGCTCGGATCTGACATCTCACTGCACTCACTCGCTTACCAGTTAATCGTGATTATCGTTCATCCGTTTGCACGTTAGTGCGACAGAGCCCATCGATAGAATGAATGACCGTGGATTTGGTGACCATTGTAGAAAACATGACCACATTTGAGTGCCTCACAGTTCAGTTCAATGAGCCACAGAATTGCAAAAAAACTGCAGATTACGAAGATGTATTTTCAGCGAAATCAAAAATCGTCATTTGTCTCAGCTTCACTCTCCTTTGGAAATCAACAAACACGCTGTTTAAATCAATTGTACACCCGAATTCCGAGCATTAGTTAAGGCAAACAACTTCAACTGATTCAATAACTTCTGCGCCTCTCCGATTGGGATAACTTCCGGTGCATTCACTGCCTCACATTCATCTGCTTCTTTGCGATGCTTAACTTGGTCCAAAACAAATTCATCAAATGATTAAAAAAGAGACTTGACACAAAAATTTTAAATAACCCACTTCTTCATCATCAAATACCAAACAGGCAATTTCTTCTTCCAAAAGACTGTCATCAATAGACACATAATGAGCAAAGTCCTCGATCAAATAGCATTTATCCTCCGGTGGCTGCATCACCGGCTGAATCAATGTGGATTTCAACCAGGCTTTCTTGACCAGATGCTTGGCCACGAGAATGTTCACCTCGGCTTTCATGATAAGTTGCTCATCTTCGATCAAAGAGAAAACATATTCCAGTAAATATTTCCTAAACGAACATTTCAAAGATCAAATCAAGCCCTGATTCATTGGTTGTAACACCGAAGAACAGTTTGGAGGAAGCCGTACCAATTTGATGTTGGACAATACTGCGGCTTGGTTATGACAAGGAGCGTAGTCCATAAATAGTAAAATAGATCGCCTTTGAGAAACCATTTTGCGGTTGATATCGAACAGCCAACTGTGAAATAACGTAGAAGTCAACCATGCGTTCTTTGAAGAATTTAAACACATGAAGGGCTTTCTCAATCTATACCTCGGAGGCATCGATGAAGTTGAAACTTTCCAATCACCAACGGTGATAACTTTTCTCCAGTCATGCTCCCACAAAGCATTAAGGTGACCCTCTCTTTGAACTTCTTGGATCTAGAAACTCTTTCCTTTCAGACTTAATGTTCTTTCTGGGAGCTGCCTATAATACAAAGCTGTTTAATCCACATTCAAAATATCGCGGTCAGCGTATCCTTGTAGCAACTGCGGTAAACCCGCTCGAAACTCATCCACTACATCACGTTGTACCGCTAAACTTTCCCCACAAACTTATGAAGTAAGGCACATGAGTTACTTGTTTCTTACTTTGTACGATTAAATACCATATCTGTGTGACCAAGAGCGAAACCAACATTTGGAAGCCTTGAATTCGTTATGATGCAATCTTTGAGCTAGTTGGATTACCTTCTTACTTACGATGCTGTCCACCATTGGAAACTCTCCGTGCTCTTCCATCATAGCAGTAAACCAAGCCAAAGTTGCCTCATTCACTGCCTTGAACTTTTCGTTGGTTTTTAGGTGGCATCTTCCCTCAGATGCTCAGGTCCTCAAAAATTCCCCGATAACCATTCGACGGGATATATTGTAGATAGTTTTTCGTGAAATTCCCAGTGATTTGGCTACAGAGCTCTGAGTTGCACCTGGCTGTCTCAGCATTTCCAACACATTCTGCTTCTCTTTGATCGATAGGCGCTTGCACATTTTGACGTCAAATGACACTGTCACCGATCACTTACATCGGTGTGACTTCCTCGTAAGGATTATCTAATCAGTGGACAGTGCCATGAACGCGTCACACTAGGTGCAGCGCTATTGGTTGCGTGCGACATTTCAGGGTGGATGGTCAATGGTCGTTCCGAACATCGGTTAACGACCAAGTAAGTACGTAACAAGAACTGTGACATATTGAGGGGTGCGACATTTCTTAGTCAGAAACTACATTATTATCCATACGGTTGGTTTGGGTTTTCGAAAAAGTGGAAAGATATTGGAAAATGCAAGTTCTTAGGGGTGCGACATAGTAGGAGATTGACTGTATTAAAAACTGTGAGGCTGAGAGGGTGACACCAGGGCAGTCTAGCCGAATCTTCTGGAGCAAACGTTTAAGCGGATAGTGTTAGTGGAGTACTAGACGAGCGGTTAGGTTGATGAAGTATTTGATATAAGAGAATCATGTCTCCTCGTATTGGACGGTATCCTAATGAATAGAGTATGGTGAGCCTAGCTTACGATATAACGCAAACCACGGGGCGACACGTTACAGTTTCCCTGACAACTGTAATGTATCAAGCATCTCAGGTGGCATCAGCAATGCGCGTACGTGTCACAGCTTCTAAACTACATAACATGTGCCGAGTGTACCAACCAATCAGAAGCCGTGCTTCCCAGACAGAAGCTTCACGATGCCAAGAATACGAGCAGGCGATTAGGAGGCGTCTGGATAACCAATGAACCTCTTCTTTACATGTTACTCAACCCCTTAGATTTCTTTCAATAAATGAACTACTACTTCTACGGCGTTTTCTTCCGCGTCTTGGTTACGTGGGATATCGTTGTGCAAGTGCCAGTGTGATTCAGTGCTCCAGTGGCATCCGTGATACCTAACGCGTGTTCCGTAATCCGTGTTCTGTGCGTACTTCAAGAGTCCGAGAATATGCAGATTATGTTGTGTGCACCTCCATCCCATCCCATACTGGAACAAACAACATTCAACTGCTACATCATCGTTCTTGCAGAAAACATAATAATCCAACTCATCGATAATGGCTTGATAGGTTGTAAGTCATACAAAGATACAAAAGTACAAAAAGGATGCAATTTGTTCTGAGTAGCAGCTAGAAAGAATTGAGCGAAATACGGTTCATTTGGGGAACGGTGAATCCTTGTGCGTCCGATTCAAGCGAGTAGAAGAAGAGCATTTTTAGTGAATTCAGACCGACAGTGTAATATGCTCGAGAGTTGTTACCATCTTTGGTTTTCCTGTTCCGCATGTATGCTTTCGCATGGTTGTAGACATGGGCATAGGCTCGGAGCTTTTTCTTGTGCATCCTTCTCCTTTGTAGCATAGGTTCGACCGGGATCGCCGATATCCTGAGGCAGCTTCTTCAGCTAGCTAGATCTTTCATCTTTGTTTAAGTCACTGCCATCTCCGATGAGATAAATTAACTTTAAACGATGCGTGAGTTCAGTGCTACATCTTCGCTTGCTAAGCATTTCCCTTTCAGATACTCTCGAGCGTACTCAGGCTGATCTTCCGGTACATTTAGGGGAACAATATATTTTCCCTTGACGAATCGATCGTTCTTCCGGATACCTCCCGTGACATCCAGAAGCACGGGAGATCATAGATCGGATAGCTTTTACAGGTCGTGAGAGAGCGCCTCCATTTCTAAACACTCTCTCAAATGATGGTGAGGTGTAGATAGGCGTCTTGTGTTTTGATTTATCAGGAGAATTTCCCATATGCATTTGTATGCTTTGAATCACTACTTTATTGTTCCACCTCATCTCAAACGCTGCACTATATACAACCACCATAAGGGTTATTATGCCAAAGAAACGGAGGCATTGCATAGAATATGAGCACCGGTTCGATTTGGAGATCCTTCTGCTTCTATATTAGGTTTAAATCAAGCGCACACACACACACACACACACAAACACATACAGGCTTCCGGTTTATTCGATCGGGGCCGAGGGAGGTAGGAAGGAGGGGGTAAATTTACACCGTCCCAAATATGCTCAACCGGAAGTACAAATATAGAATCGTAGGAATGCTGACGATTAGAACCTCATTACACCTTCAGTGAACAGTTCTTGTTCAAAATTAGTGAACCGCGTTTCCAAACCCATTTTCCGCCGCTTATGACGTAAAGTACATGAACTGAACTGTGCGGAACTCTGCCCTGAATTGTTCAATTTAGAACACAGGCTACATGATACGAAAAAATAATCGATATGGCTTTTGAAACATTGACCAATACCATGATAGAATGGATTATTATTTCCGATGAACAATGAAACCGGTCAAAACTATTCCTGTCAATCACATGTGTCGAGACGAACTATACAAATCAAACATCCCTAATGGGTTTGGAATTTGCTGGTCCCTACATTTGTGTGCCACGGTTGAAGAAGGAGCATTGGACAGCTGGTTCGTTTTTTTTTGCGGGAAATCAACATTCGTATGCATGTTTATCTGCTCGTGGCCGAGTCACAAACCGCGGAACTTCGGGTTGAAAGCTGACCGATTTAGGCCTGAACCAAACAATTGACATGCAACCCACCCATCCATCCACCAACCTCGAGTGCAGAGTTTTGTAAACTATGCATGTTCATGTGACATCAGAGTTTGTGGTTTAGTATGTTTGTGATGCCGCTCCCACAGAGAGCGTTTCTCACAAAGTTGGTGGATGCATTTTCTTCGTCACGGAATTCGGGTGACGAGTAACACACACACACACACACACCGAGCGTGACATCGGTGCATTTGCATGGATAATTCGTGTGCACGGAAAGTGTTCCAAGTTAATTTTCCACACACAGTTTTTCTCATCCCCAATTTAAGCTTTCGAATGTTTTTCGGACCCACCGCTTGCTCAGTTTCGTGGAGTAGCGATATGTTTCTATTTATGCTAATTGAGGGAAGTTGAGTAGCAGGTTTGTTGTTGTTGTTGTTGTTGTTGTTGTTGTTGTTGTTGTTGTTGTTGTTGTTGTTGTTGGTTATCCATCATTTGATGATTGTATTTCAAATCTTTTGTGTTATTATTGGAATGAAGTTCCGTAGTCGGGTGGAATCAAATATGGCCTCATGTGCGGTCAGATGACAAGTGACCCATGGGAATATTAAGAGGTAACAGAACACAAGGCTAATTGTTTACTTAGTAATCACTCGCTTGAGCTAACGATGAACGGAACGACTAAGTCATAGTGTTGAAGCTTTTGCGCCGTCATTCGGCCGTGAATGTGGAAAGGTAAGGTGTATGGTGAGTATACATACAGTATCTACCCAAATCCATTCTATTCGCTAACTTCGGCTCGCTGCAGGAGACTCCAAACACACTTACGAGAAGGGTGGTGTCAGTGCTGATCACCTCGGCGATTATCTGTCAAACCCAACCACCAACCACAACCACCGGAAAGATTCCGCATTTCTTTGCACCAAATGACAACCCTTGGAATGAGCGCTTCATTCAACCGGGAATTTCTTTGTAAAATCATGTCATGAATTAAAAACATTTGAAGGAATGAACGATAAAAACGCTTGGCTACGCCACCTTGCAATTGAGTGGACATCAGCGGAACTTTGATCCACTTGACGTGTGTGTGTGAGAGAGAGAGAGGGGGGGTGTGATAGTTGAAGTCCCCACAGATCACGAATAAGGCATCATGGACGCCACGGGAGCACTGAATTACACTGGTACTTGCACATTGGTATCCCACGCAACCGAGATCCAAGAAAAAGGCCACAGCAGTAGTAGCTCATTTATTAGGAGAAATCAAGGAGGATAAATAACACGTAAAAAAGAAGTTTGTTGGTTATGCCGGCATCTGCCAATCGCGTGCTCATAGAATTTTCGTCGTACAGCTTCTGTCTGGACCGTACGGCTTCTGATTGGTCGGCACAATCAACCTATGATTCATTTTCCGGAAGCTGTAATGCGTAGGCACTTGGCTGGCGTCATCTTGGAAGCTTCACTCATCACAGTTGTCCAGAAAATGTGACGTGTCGCCCCGAGGTTTGTGTCATCCCGTAAGCTAGGATCACCACAGTGGGCCCTAAATCTAAGCACGTAAGTTCAAACGCATGAAATCGACTCGTTTTGCACCCAAGTAGCAGATTCGTGGTACAGGTGTGAAACTAGCAACCAATGGCATGCCCTTCTCCCGCACACACTTTGATCCACTTATTGTTTTGTATATTTGGTATATTTGTATAATTGTTCTGTTTCTTTTTTACATTGTGACTCGGTGCTTCATTGTTGTCTCAAACATGT